GAGCTAAGGGGCCGCTATCTCTGCCTGAGTTCCCTGAGCTCCGGAGCAGTGGTGCAGAAGTTTTGCCCAAGGGTAGAGGGAAGCCATAGATACAGAGGCCTCTGCCGTTTTCTCCAAGAAAACACTTTATGTGGAACACAGTGTGGGAACGTTCAAGAGGGCCTCCTCAAAATCAGTGAAGCTTTCGTTGGTAAGCAATTAAGAGGAGCCTGGGAACTCCATTCAAGCAACCAGCTGAATTTTAGTAGAAGTGTCCTGGAGAGAACCAGGGAAAGTATCAGCTAAGAGCCCTCTTGGTGTTAGACTAAGCCTCAAAGACTGTCTGAAAGATTACCCTTGCAAAGGGGCCCAAATTTAACTTAAAAGACAGGAGCAATTTATGCCTTCAGGGCACTGTCAAACAATCAGCCAGCAGTTGGTGGAGGCTAACAGCTGGATGTGACACCATAGCAGGCTGACAACTTAATAAAGAGAAAAGGTAAAGAGAAAGCAAGACTTTTTTTTTTTTTTTTTGAGATGTAGTCTCACTCCGTCGCCCAGGCTGGAGTGCAGTGGCACAGTCTCAACTCACTGCAGCCTTCCACTCCAGGATTCAAGTGCTCTTCCTGCCTCAGCCTTCCGAGTAGTTGGGATTACAGGTGTAAGCCACCATACCTGGCCTGAATTTGACTCTTGTAGGCACTTCACATAAGTGGAATCACGCAGTATTTGTCCTCTTGTGATTGGCTAATTTTACTTTACATAATGTCTTCAAGTGTCATCCATATTGCAGCATGTGTCAGTTTTTTTTTTTTTTTTTTTGAGACAGGGTCTCAATCTGTCACCCTGGCTGGAGTACAGTGGCACAATTACAGTTCACTGCAACCTGACCTCCTGGGCTCAAGTGATCCTCCTACCTCAGCCCTCCCAAGTAGCTGAGACTACAGGAGCATGCCACCATGCTCAGCTAATTTTTTTTTGAACTTTTTTGTAGGGACAGGGTCTCACTGTGTTGCCCAGGCTGGTCTTGAACTCTTGGGCTCAAGCGATCCTCTTGCCTCTGCCTCCCAAAATGCTGGGATTACAAACACGAGCCACTGCACCGGCCAATTTCATCTCTTCTGAAAGCTGAATAGCATTCCATTGTTTGTACTTACCAATTTTATTTATCCATTCATCCATCAGTGGACATTTGGGTTGTTTCCCTCTTTTGGCAATTATGAATAATGCTACCATGAACATTGGCATACAAATATCTTGAATCCGACTTAACTTAAATACCATGTCTGCATTGTGGATGGTAAAAGAGATAATTATAGAGTAGCACATGGAAGAACATTAAAAAATGTAATAGTTGGCCAGGTGCAGTGGCTCAAGCCTATAATCCCAGCACTTTGGGAGGTCGAGGCAGATCAAGAGTTCAAGGCCAGCCTGGCCAACATGATGAAACCTCATCACCACTAAAAAAACATCCACACAAAATTAACCAGGCGTAGTGGTGCATGCCTGTAACCCCAACTACTCGGGAGGCTGAGGTGGGAGGATCCTTTGAACCCCGGAGGTGGAGGTTGCAGTGAGCCAAGATTGTGCCACTATACTCCAGCCTGGGCAACAGGGCAAGACTCTGTCTCAAAAAATAAATAATAAAATGTAATCCTTATGAAATGATTTTAATGTCATTAGAATAACTATAATCACACTTCAAGCCTGAGCTAACACAGATATTGCTTCGGTCCACAGGGTTTCTCAACCTGGGCACTATTGACATTTGGGATAATTGTTTGTTGTGAGGCTGTCCTGGGCACTGGAGGGTGGTTAGCAGCATCTCCAGCCTCTTCCCACGAGGCGTCAACAGCACCCCTGCGGTCATGACAACCACAGACATTGTCAGGTGGAACCACTGGTTTGGGATGGGACTGAATAAGGTATTTAATTTTAAAAGTGGAGTCAATATAAGGAAATTATTAAGTAAATAATAAAGCAGAGAGTACAGAGATAGGGTCAAAATTATCAATGTGGTTTGCAGATGCCTGGAGTTGGGAATGTTTGCTCTGCAACTGTGCAAGGATATCTGAATACCCAAGGGGCTGAGATGAAGCCATTAACTAAGACTGTAGGAATTCACTCAAGGTGGGGGCAAAAATACTAAGGGAAAAATAGTAGAGAAAGTTATACTCTACTTTGAGTCTACAGAGTCTCAAACCCTTTCTAGTATTAGATGTCTTGCTCAGTAAAAAATGTTTACTGTCGGCTGGGCGCGGTGGCTCAAGCCTGTAATCCAGCACTTTGGGAGGCCGAGTCAGGTGGATCACGAGATCAAGAGATCGAGACCATCCTGGTCAACATGGTGAAACCCCGTTTCTACTAAAAATACAAAAAATTAGCTGGGCATGGTGGCGCGTGCCTGTAATCCCAGCTACTCAGGAGGCTGAGGCAGGAGAATTGCCTGAACCCAGGAGGCGGAGGTTGCGGTGAGCCGAGATCGCGCCATTGCACTCCAGCCTGGGTCACAAGAGCGAAACTCCGTCTCAAAAAAAACAATGTTTACTGTCTTGTAAATTAAATATGTGATAAAACAAAATAGGAGTCTCTGGAAAGATGGGAATTTTTTTTGTTGTTAAGACAGAGTCTTGCTCTGTCACCCAGGCTGGAGTTCAGTGACACGATCTCAGCTCACTGCAACCTCCACCTCCTGGGTTCATGCCATTCTCCTTCCTCAGTCTCCTGAGTAGCTGGAACTACAGACGGTTGCCACCATGCTGGGCTAATTTTTGTATTTTTGGTAGATACGGGGTTTCACCGTGTTGGCCAGGCTGGTCTCAAACTCCTGACCTTAAGTGACCCTCCTGCCTGGGCCTCCCAAAGTGCTGGGCTTACAGGCGTGAACCACTGTGCATGGCCTGTTTTGTTTTTGTTTTGTTGTTTTTTTTTATGCTGCCTCTTGCCTTCTCCAGAAATTGTTTTAAAATACCCCGATAACATAAAATTATGTAGAAAAGGGTACATGATGTACTTATTTAATGCACAGGTTTTATTGACTCCTTTGCAATTAATAGCATGAAGGACTCAATTTTTATTGCTGCAATTAAGGACGACATCAGGAAGAGGAATGCATGGTGACTAAGAAGTCATCGTTGGGCAGATACCTGTCAGACACTCTGCGTGTATATGATTACAAGACTAGAACACCTTTTCATCTGTGTGTGTATGTGTGCATGTGCAACGTGTGCATGTGTGTGTGTACGTGTGTTTCATGAGCATTTTTAGTGCTGGGTCCTATATATGTAAGTATAAATATTACCATAAAATGTGTCTTCCAAATTGGGACTATTTGGAGTCACCTGGTGGGAGGGAGGGCACTATTAAAATTTTGCCAGGACAACAGGCGTAAGCCAGGACTGTTCATCTTATGATTTCACTATGGACAACTTACATATAGCTTTAAAAAGCAGCCCAAATCACAGACAAGTTTATTTTCCACGATTCTTTTCACTGGCCAGCAGAAAGCCTTTCCTAATAACAAAAGGACCAAATTTTTGAATTTCATCATAGTTTGTTTTCATGGAACTCTTGCATGCTGGGACTTAAAGCCTCTAAACAAACTTTGTCTACGTTACCAGTAAGAAGCCAGACAGTAGACCTGGTTACAGGGCATTTGAACCCCCTGCCTAGACTGCACACAGACTGCCCTGTGTGTGACAATAAAGACACAACATCAGATCCTTCATATTGTGTACCATGTCATGACTGCAGGGATACTTAATGAACATCCAGCCTGCTGCTTTCAGTGTTACTCTCTTGGCCTCATCCTTTCCATTTCCCTTACAATGATTACACTGATGAAGTCTCGTCTCAAAAACCTTAAATCCATCCTCAAAACATTTTTGGTAGTGATATTCCAAAGGAAAAGTTTCTTGCACCAGGTGGTGAGAATTTGCTAGAAAAAAAAATCCTGTATGTGTTGGAGAGTGTGTGTATAGGAACTCTCTGTACTTTTCACTTAATTTTGTTATAAATCTAAAACTGCTCTATTTATTTATTTATTGACAGAGTGTCTCTCTGTTGTCGAGGCTGGAGTGCAGTGGGGCAATTTGGATCTTGGTTTATTATAACCACCACCTCCTAGGGTTAAGCAATCCCCCTGCCTCAGCCTCCTGAGTAGCTGGGATTACAGGCACAAATCACCATGTCCTACTAATTTTTGTATTTTTCATAGAGACAGGATTTCAACATTTGGCCAGGCTGGTCTCGAATTCCTGGCTTCAAGTGATCTTCTCACATTGGCCTCCCAAAGTACTGGGATTACAGGTAAGAGCCACAGCATCTGGACCTAAAACAGCTTTAAAAAATAGAATTTATGTTTTCTAAAAGTCCTGAATCCCATGATCACTACTTCTGAGGGCTAGAAAATGAGTGAGGACTGGCCGGGTGCAGTGGCTCAGGCCTGTAATCCCAGCACTTTGGGAGGCCGAGGCGGGTGGATCACGAGGTCAAGAGATCAAGACCATCCTGGTCAACATGGTGAAACCCTGTCTCTACTAAAAATACAAAAAATCAGGAGGCTGAGGCAGGAGAATTGCCTGAACCCAGGAGACAGAGGTTGCGGTGAGCAGAGATCATGCCATTGCACTCCAGCCTGGGTAACAAGGGCGAAACTCCGTCTCAAAAAAAAAAAGAAAGAAAGAAAATGAGTGAGGACTTTACAGGAAGGTTCTGAAATGGGCTCCTATCATTGCTATGGCAAGCATTTATTACACATTCTTAGGTATGTGCCAGGCTCTGTTTGATGGACTTTGCACTTGTGAACTCATCTGCCACTCAAAGGAGCCCATGAGACAAGCACTTCACCATCCTCTGCACTTTACAGAAGAAAGTGGGGCACAGAGACGTGCCGTACTTGCCTAAGGTCACAAGGCCAGGAAGGATGGAACCAGGATTCAAGCCCCAGCAGCACAGATTCCAAATCCCATTTCTCTGAACCATCCCCCAAGGACGCAGAAAAACGAAAGTGACAAACTGAGTGAATTGCTGATTTTCTCTAAAAAGAATAAACAGAGCACATTATCTGCTCCAACCCCGGCTTCCTGCTGGCTCCCAGAATACCCTGGGGACTTTCTCAGGTTAGGAAATCCTGCAGAGACCTCAGTTGAGTTAGAAGCACTTCTACTTTAATCAAGTCCTGCAGCTTTAGCCATCCCAGAAGGTGACTGGGGCGTATCCTCTGCTTTGCTCTTTTTTTTTTCTTTTTGAGACAGAGTCTCACTCTGTCGCCCAGGCTGGGGTGCAGTGGCGTGATCTTGACTGCAACTTCCATCTCCGAGGTTCAAGGCATTCTCCTGCCTCAGCCTCCCGAGAAGCTGGGACTGCTGTACAGGCGCCCGCCATCACACCCAGCTAATTTTTATATTTTTAGTAGAGACAGAGTTTCACCATGTTGGCCAGGATGGTCTTGATCTCTTGAACTCGTGATCCACCCGCCTCTTCGGCCTCCCAAAGTGCTGGGATAGGCTTGAGCCACCGCGCCCGACCTGCTCTTTTTGTAAGAAGGTACTGCCATGGTTTTGGAAATTCACTTTACAGCCACATCTCAAGCCAAGATATCTCAGGCCAAGGCTCACCAAATCCCTCGATCCAATGGGCCACTAAAAGGCAAAAATAAGTCCATTAGTTTCCAAAATGGCCTCCCCCAGAAATGATTGTAAAATGAAATAATACAATTAAACAGAATATGGCAAGGCTGCAAGCAGAGGGGAGGAAACAGAAACCAGAGACAATTAAGAAACAGCTCTGCATGCTGGAAAATGATAATGGATCTTTTTTTTTCATCTCAGTCTATGATTCAGTCTTTCTGGTTACATTCTTTAAGCCTACCAGAGCTGCAGAGAAGATGCCATGTCCTTTCGCTCTTCTTCCTCTTCCTGGGCTCAGTTTGCACCTCTTTTTGAGCCTCTGTGACACAGTTGTGTTTTAGAATTCCTGAACTAGATAGACATCCTTTTCTAGAACTGTTGGCTGAACTTGTGTTCCTGAGATGGGAGAAAAGAGCCATTTCCACAATGGTGAGCCCATCTGCAGTCTACTCCTAACAACTGCTTTTCGTGGCTCTGAATCAAGTTGGAGAAATCATCCTGGATCTCTGGAGCCATTCCATGCTTTTCAGGGCCTAGCAAGACATCGCAGTCTCCCTTAGCAAACAAAGGCAGAAGCAAACCCATATTGGGCTGGGCCTGTTTCTCTAGCATGCATGTAGCCATGAGTATGGCTACCAAGCAGCAGTGTTTAAAGACAAGAACCAGAAAACTGTGGATCACAACCAAATGTGTGCATAGATATGTGTACGCACCCTCCCAAAACTAGTGACAAATCTTTTTCTTTTGTTCTGAGATGGAGTCTCACTCTGCCATCCAAGCTGGAGTTCAGTGGCATGATCTTGGCTCACTACAACCTCCGCTTCCTTGGTTCAAATGATTCTCCTGCCTCAGCCTACTAAGTAGCTGGGATTACAAGCCTGTGCCACCACACCTGGCTTATTTTTGTATTTTTAGTAGAGATGGGTTTTCACCATGCTGGTCAGGCTGGTCCGGAACTCCTGACCTCAGGTGATCCTCCCACGCTGGCCTCCCAAAGTGCTGGGATTACAGGCTTGAGCCACAATGCCCAGCCTATTTTAAAAATTATTATTAAGATTTAATTAACAAAATTTGTTTATATTTACAATGTACAACATGCTTTATTAATTTATTTATGTTTGTTTATTTGTCCAACATGGTCTCGCTCTGTGGCCCAGGCTGGAGTGCAGTGGTGCAATCACAGCTCGCTGAAGCCTCAACTTCTTGGGCTCAAACAACCCTCCTGCCTCAGCCTCCCCACTAGCTGGGACTACAGGCATGCACCACCACATTGGGCTAATTTTCAAATTTTTTGTAGAGATGGGGTCTCACTGTCACCCAGGCTCCACCTCAGTCTCCCAAAATGTTGGATTACAGGCATGAACCACTGTACTGGTCCATGTTTTGATACATGTATACATTATGGGATGGCTAAACCAAGCTAGTTAACATACACATTACCTCAACATACTTATCCAGTGATAAATCTAAAGCTGTTTTTTGGAAGTCCAAACTGTCGTAAGTCAGAGTCAAGACGATGGGGTTCATCACTCAGTTTGCTACTGAAGCCTAGGTTTTTCTTTTCTAAGATAAAAGAGAATACAGAGGAATACATAAACACTGAGATGAAACCTTTTATTTTTCAAGGTAACATGACAACTGAATGAATAGAGCAATGGCAAAAGATTCTTTCTTCTCCTTCACTCTGATGTACCATGAGTGTGAGTTCTTTCAAAGGCAGACACAAAGGGTCTGGGGCTACATTCAGGCCTGAAAGGCTGTTTCTGTCCACATTGTGTGATGTCTACAGCTTCAGAATGGGGAATGGGCTTCAGGGGTCTCTGACAGATGTATCTCATGCAGTGATTTCTGGTACGGTGCTGATCAGTCTTCAAAGGCTGTTATTTGGTCACGCTCCATAAAACTTGAGCCAGCCCATTTTTCCTTGTCACTATCCTGAAATATGTTGGGAAAAATTTACATGGCAACAAACACCACTTCCCTTCTTGGCTAAGTCGCTCCTCTTATTTCATCCCCTGCTCCCTCTCTCCCAGCCCTATGGGGCCTTGGTAGGCTGGCCTTGCCTGCCCGACAGGGGTTGCATTTCAAGTCGCTCAAGTGTTCTATTCTTGGTACACGGCATGCCATTGCAAAAGCAGTTTCAGGCTCATAGAATTTTAGAAATGGGCCTAGTTTCCCAGCCGGATGGGGTGAGTGGGTGAAGAATCAGCCTTGATTGAATGCCTATTGAGTGCCAGGCACTGTTAGCATCTACCGGAGTTTATTTAATCTTCTCATCAGCTACTATTGTTACCCTCGGTTGCCAAGTGAAGAAATCAGGGAGCATGCAGAAAGCTTTAGTGACTTGCCCAAGGACACAACAACCGGTAGAGGCCTCAATTCCAAACGTAGTTCAAAGGCTACCTGCTTCCAGGAGGCCTCCTACTGGGTTGGTTAAGGGCTGAAAGGGCCGTGGGACAATAACTGAGGTCCATACTGCCCAGGGCGTCCCCATCCCCCATCCGGGGCTGGAAGAGGCCAGAGACCGCTGCCTCCACAACTTTTCCTCCCCTTCGGGTTTGGTGACTCACGACCCTTTTTCCTCTCTCCCAGAACATGACCTCAAATTTCACCCCCTCTGAAATTTGAGTACATATGAGTCAGTCAGTCGGCCTGGACCTACCAGAGCTCCGCAGCTGAGCTACCAGCAGACCTCCTTCCTCTGCGCCCCAGTCGACACCTGACCTTATCCAGCCCTCTAAAGCAGCTTGCGGTCACAATTACCCTTCTCTTCAGCCGCCCCCAACAACATCACACAAGACTTATCTTCTAGCCCTCCTCCCCTTTCCCTGCCCACTCTGGAGTGGCTTTATCCAATGGCGTCTGGGTCCCCGGACTAAAGACGTCAAATGTAACCAATTGCTGAGGAGCTATTCTCAAAGTCTCCCGCCTTCATTCTGAGGAGCAGCTTCGTTGACCAATGGATTCCCTTCTAGAGGCAATAAGCGCTCGGGGCAAGTAGAGAAGCGGCTGAACTGCCCAATGAACAGACGGTTTCCGTGGTTGGGGGCGTGGCTGCAGTTGCTTGGGCGGGGCCGGTAGCGGCGGGAGCTGCACTGGCCAGGGGTTTCGGCTGTATATCCATAAGCGCCGCCGGCAGCCGCGGAGCTTCAGGGTCCGGACTGGAGGCGAGCTGAGCACCTGTAGTCAGTCACACGCAGGTAAAGCCACGGCCAAGCGAGTTCCGTGGAGTGGGGATAGGACCCCGTACTCGGCGAACCGAATCCTCGAGTCCCGAGTTTCCCGGCTCAGCTTGGCCCATCACGCCTCAGCCTGAGGGGATCCTCGGATCCTGGGGTGAGGTCCTCGGGGGCCTGTTCTCTGGCGCCGCGGGGGCCCCCAGGGCTGGCTTGCCCAGGGGCGGGGGCAGCCCAGATCGCGGCAGGGGATACGCCTTCCTGAGCCCTTTGTCCCCTCCTGCCTGAGGAACCGAGGTTGGGGACAGCCCCGACCGCGGCCTCTCTGGCTGCCATTCCCCCCTCGGCGCCCACCCTTGGGGCTTCTGGGGCTTGGGGAGGGGTCTGCCGGTTCAGGCTTGGGGAAGAAGGTCCGGGATCCGCCCCTGGAAGGACAGGGCCGAGGAGCCTGATTACAGCCCCAGATACCTGAGAGGCCTCTGCGTTTCGGGGCTCCCGGGGCACACCCAGTACCAGTGGGTTTAAGTTCTAGGGAGGCAGCTTTTGACCCACTTGCAAGCACATTTGCAGAGTTCGGCCCCGCACCCGGCACTGTTCTAGGCACTTCGTGGGCTTTTCCCACAGCTAGAGCTGTCCAGCAGCGCAGGAGGCTGCCTGCCAGGCCAGGCAGCTGGCGCCTCGACCTTGGCAATGTCCAAGCAGTGGCGGGTGACAGCTACCTGTGCGAGATGCTTAGAAAGGACTCCCGGGGAGGACCGCATGGCCAGTCTGTAAGGCCCTGCTCTCTTCCCACAGGTGCACTCTAGGTGACCTTTAATGCCTAGCTAGAGAAGAGTATTTCTGGGGGTCCATTAGGTTCCAAGTGGCTGTTGAATTCTCCCATCATGAATTTTGAGGTTTCAGTTCTCAAGAGTGGGCGTTAGCAAAGAGACTGGATTATACAAAAAGATAGAGGTTTATTTAGCCACTAGGAAACTTCTTAATTTGAACTACCATGGACCTGTCTCTTAATCCTCCTGATTCCTCTATTTTGGTGGCTCGACTTCCAGTTTGTCAGTTTCACCTGCATTCCAGTAACCAAATCCAAACGCAGCTTCCAAGAACAGCTCCGTATAGGGAGCTGGAGAGTGCAGGTTTGGCAGGGTCAACGAGATCTGTGTCCAGAGTTTTCGAAGGCCATTTTCTTACATCCACATTAAGCAGATCTAAAAGAGAAACCCTTCACTACCTCTGTCATTTGCCTGAATAGAGAGAACCTAATAATCTTATAAACGTCAGGAGGCAGAGAAAGAATCTTAGCACAACTTGCTCTGCATTTTAGGATGAATTAATCTTTGAATAGCTAGTCAGAAAGCAGACCAGTCCACATACTGCTGGTAGTCAGCACGGACTTGTGACATTTTAGAACTGAATGCCCCTTAGATACAGCTCATCTCTAAGTCTAATTAGATAGACTCTAATTCAGTCTCCTCAATGCACAGGTGCGGAAACTGAGGCCTGGGGTGATCACAAGGCTGGGTGATCATCACAGACCAGTGACTAAGGGTTGATCTCTTGACTTTAGATCTAGCCAGTGCATGACTTATTTCACTCCAAGCTTAGTTAGCTCATTCTCAGTGTTTTAAGTTCTATGGCAGTCCAGAGGTTAGGAGGACAGATTTTGGTGCCTGAGTGTCCGGATTTGAATCCTAGCCCTGCCTCTTACTGGCTGTGCAACCTTGGGCAAACCTCTCTGTGCCTCTGTTTCCTCACCTCCAAAACAGAAATAATAATGATACATTAGAAGGTTGTTTTGAGTTACTATACCTGAAGCATTTAGAACAGTACCTGACACAGGGTAAGCACTAGAGATTTGTTAGATATGATATTCTTTTGCCTTTTTATATATTTTTTCATATCCACCACCCAGTATCTCCTATCAGGAGCTAATTTTCCCCCCAGTCCCCTTCCTCCCACCCCCTAATTCATTGAACATATTCCAGATTTCATTTTAACACTGACATCTGCAGGGGTTTCCAAGTCAGGTTGCATTTTATATCTTTCTTATTTTTCTGATTCAGGTAATTCAGTTACTATGTTAGCTCCCCCCTTGTAGTTACATTCTTCTTAGGCTCTGAACCTTTTTAAATTCTTCTTAAAAGCAGGCAGTGAGTGAGGTGGGAATCCCTTGAAATGGTGAAGTCCTGGATGATACCAGTGTCTGTGGTGTCCTTCCAAATATGTATTCCCTCTCTTTAGCCCTCCTCCCCAGTGATCAGTGTGATGCAGCTTGATTCTAAGTGGATGAACATTTGTAGATTAAGATTTTATGAGCCACCGTATTAAGTGCTTTCCGGAAGTTCAGGGATCGTGTGTCAACCGCATTTAAGCAAGTTACTTAGTCATTCGAGTAGGGGGAGCACCAGCAGCGCCTGCCTGGCCTGGCAGAAGCAGAAGTGTGTGACTGATCCCCGCTGGCAATCTAGCTTGTTCACTGGTTTATCTGCGTTTTTCCTGTTCTTTTCCAGAGCTTGAAATAAACCAGGCAGCAAGTACAATGGAATGGTCTTTTTCCTCTCATTTTATGGGGATCATTGGCTTTCTTCCTTTTTTACTTTCACGTTCATTTCCTTTATCGCCTTCACGGGTCTGACAAATAGCTACTATCACTGTGCTGGCCGATTCCCTTTTGATGAAAAGATGCCTGTCACTTCCATTTTTTGCAGGAATCCAGTCAGTCACCTTTGATTTTTCTCTTCTGTTTTTACTTGTTTTCTAGATTGAACCAAAGATTATCACTTATTAAATGGCACCTTCATATGCTTTATTTTCCTTGAGTTGATTCTGAATTTGGTTTTTGTTTAGGCTATTCTAGAGATCAGCCATTTTAGAATAATAGTTTTCATTTCTTTGCTTGTGTGTTAATATGGGCCCCTTTCTCTCTTTCTCACTCTGTTTTCTCAACATTTTGGTGGAAGGGCTTCTCATTCGCTGTTACTCATTGCTGTGAGCATGAACGCCTTGTCCTGGTAATCTCTGGCAGGACCCATAACCTCTGTAGTGGTTCCCACTGCCCTTGTTCAGAGCTCCTGGCCTGAGCAGGAAATAATTTCTTTGGTCTTATTGGAGACGGGGGCAGAATCTGTCTTATTTTGGCCTAAAATCTCGCTCTTTTAAAAGCCCCGGCAGAGAGACATTTCCAATATAATGGAATTTCGTGTGACAGAATATCTGCCATGACCTATAGCTTAAAGTATTCCCATTTTTATTACATTATGAGTTTTGAGTACTCCATGACCAGTTTCAGAGTAAAGATGATGTGGGGCACAAGGTGTTTAAGCCTTTCAGTTTCATCTTGGGCTAAGCTATCCCCAGCAACAGAGCAATGAGAAGTTCAGAGTGCCTCTTAAATGTCTAGTGTTAGGATTTTATAGCAACTTTGCATGGTTCAGCATTTTGGCCTGTGCATGATTAGGACATTTTTAAGCCCTGTGCTGCTGTTTCTGTGTTGATACCACACAGGTGCTAATGTTATCTCCTTTCAGGATTATTTTCTTCTTTTTTTTTGAGACGGAGTTTTGTTCTTGTTACCCAGGCTGAAGTGCAGTGGCATGATCTCGGCTCACCGCAACCTCCGCCTCCTGGGTTCCGGCAATTCTCCTGCCTCAGCCTCCTGAGTAGCTGGGATTACAGGCACGCGCCACCATGCCCAGCTAATTTTTTGTATTTTTAGTAAAGACGGGGTTTCACCATGTTGACCAGGATGGTCTCGATCTCTTGACCTCGTGATCCACCTGCCTCAGCCTCCCAAAGTGCTGGGATTATAGGCTTGAGCCACCGCGCCCGGCCCAGGATTATTTTCATATCTGCAGATTTCTTTTTTGTTGTCTTGTCCAGGCATCATGTTTTGGGATTAAACGTTTTCTGTTTGTAAAATGGTTGGTGTGGACAGATGTTAAGCCCCACTGTTACCCCTGAGGCTTGTGGACTGGGCCGAGTTGGGTGAGTGGCATGTTACATACCGACCCATCGTCTGATCTTTTGCAATAGTTAAGTAGCAGACAAGTGAAGAGCTTTTAGAGAAGTGGAACATTGACACCCTTGGGTCTGCCTGATTTCTGATTTTCTTTTGTTGTCTTTAAGCGGAGGTTCATTAAGTTCAACAAATTGAGCATCTGGTGTGTGCCAGGAACACAGTTGACCAGATTAACAAATGTGTTTGGTTTGTTTCATAAAAACTATTTCATTTTTAAATGGTTTTTATTAGAAATTTAAAAATTTTTTAATTCAAATTTTAGTTTTTAAAAATAGGTAATACATTCACATGATGAAAGAAAATGTTTAAAAGGCACAAAAGGTTAAGTAGTAAATACATCTCTGTGTACCCCGACCCCTGATCCTCGGAGGCAACCAGCTTCGTGATTTCTTCATCCTCCAGAGGTGGTCTCTGAACTTCCAAGAGATTTTATACATCTATAAGCAAATTCGTTAAACATATTCTGCACACCACCCCTTTTTGCAGAAATGGTAGCGCACTGTATACATGGTATTTGGAACCTTGCCTTTTTCACTTAATATTTCTTGGCAATGTGAAAAGAGCTTCCACGTCATTTTTTATGAAGGCCGTCTATTTTAGATATCTGTTTTCTGTTTCTAAGGATGCTAAAAAACAGTCTTATTTAGGCAGCAGCTTTGCTGGAAATCTTAAAATCTTGTGGATATTTGGAGGCAATTTTTTTTTTCTATGTCCTTCAGCCCTAAGCCTGAGAAGAGGCTGAGGGAGGTGGAGGGCAGCTTCTAAAGGTCAGCTGTGAAGGGAGAGCTGGGGCATTGGTAAGTGAGGAATGCATTGGTCCTTGGGCCCTTCGCCTTGCCCTCTATGCAGAATGTGATAGAATTTCCAAGGGAAGTTTGCTGTTTGCTCTCTGTTCTCCAGAGTAGCGTCCTGGCCTCCCTAAGTTACATTTCCAGCATATTTTTTTTTTTTTGAGACAGAGTCTCACTCTTGTCGCTCAGGCTGGAGTGCAGTGGCATGTTCTCTGCTC